GTTGAGCCCAAGATTGCTGAGAAGATGTGCAGACCAGCTAGCAGCACCTCTAACTCGCATCTTTCAGCACTGCCTAGTACAGTGTAAATGGCCCTCTCTATGGAAAGAGGCAAATGTAGTCCCTGTTCACAAAAAGAAGAGCAGAGCAGAAACCAGCAAATACAGACCAGTGTCACTCCTGTCAATCACTGGTAAGATCCTTGAGACAATAATCTCAAGACAAATGACAGAGTTTTTTGACTACCACTCACTACTTTGTGATCGTCAATATGGCTTCAGGAAAGGTTACTCTGCTGCTGATTTGTTGCTAAACCTCTCCACTAAGTGGCACCAGTCACTGGATGAATCCAAAGTCAGCTGTGTGGTAGCACTGGACATTGCTGGCGCTTTCGACCGGGTGTGGCACCAGGACCTCTTAGCAAAACTTCAAGCACTGGGAATTGCAGGCTCTACGTTATGTCTCCTCAGTGATTACCTTCATGTAGATCTCTAAGTGTAGTTCTCAATGGAACGGAATCAGCAAGACATCCTACTGGGGCAAGTGTTCCACAAGGAAGCGTACTGGGACCATTGTTATGGAATGTCTACTTCAACGATCTTCTTCATCTCATCCCAGAATCACATGCATATGCAGACGACTGTACATTGACACTCACTTATCCAAGAGAAGAAATGCCAGCTGCTCTAAGCTACATCAATCACCAGCTGAGAGCTACATCAGCTTGGGAAAATAGATGGCAAGTAACATTTGCACCTGAGAAAACGCAAATGATGATCGTCTCTAGGCACCATGATGGTAATGCTGGTGCAGTAGTAAGGATGAATGGGAGGGTGTTGGCACCTGGAGTAGAAGTTGATATCCTTGGGGTGAAATTTGACTCCAAACTAACCATGAAGAACCATGTTGTAAATCTTGCAAACAAGGCAGCCAGGAAGCTTACAGCACTTCGCCGTATCTCGCATCTACTTGACAGTAGGGGTTGCAAGATTCTGTACGAGGCACAAGTACGCTCACACCTTAAGTATGCTCCACTTTCTTGGTTTGCCTGCCCCCCCTCTCATCTGCGACTGCTTGACAGAGTAGAGAACAGAGCAAGACGTCTCATCCCTCGCCTGGACCCATCCTGGATAGATCTGTCATTTCAGCAGAGCCTTCAACATAGGAGGGATGTGGGTGGCCTTACTGTTATGTTAAGTACCACACTTGGATCCACTTCGAGGACAGCGTGAAACAAGCTTTTATGCCACAAGACGGGCAGAAAGCAGCAACTTTACTCTGGCTGTACCCTTCTCCAGAACATCACTCCATCTGAGATCCTATATACCCAGGATGACTCGAGTATGGAACACATTCGTACAGCATAATGATGTCAACGAGATAAAGTCAGTTGATCAAATGAAAATGCTGGCCCACAGATGGCTCCAACTTCATCCTGTTCCCTACTTGTATGTCTCATAACAATAAAAATGCTTTCAAATGAGCTGATGTAGGTAACAGCTCTTAGCTTGCTAATAAAGTTAGGAATCCTTAACCTGTTAATAACTTGTCAATAAAGCTAGGGATCCTTAACCTTGTCAAACCCTGTGTAAAAAAACAAAAACAGAGAGAGAGAGAGAGAGAGATAGAGAGAGAGGGGGGAGAGAGAGGGAGGGAGGGAGGGAGAGAGAGGATACCTTAGTCTTTAAAATAGGGAGTAAAGTAAGCGCTATGAGCAAATACACTGAAAAATTCACACCACTCGGTGTATACATTCCCTTTCGCCATACTGTGATTTGTATTTTTCATGCATCATAATATTTTCTCATTTCATTTAAAATTTCCTGGATTTTTATTTCCAATTATTTTTATTCTAAATTTGGAAAATATCCTGATGATTTTAATGTCAAACATCTCTTTCAATACCAACCATTACAGCGCTGACGAAATGTCTTATAATCAATGTTAATTCTTCACTTTCCTTAGTTAGACGATGTATTATGTCTTCAAGCTGAAGTGAGACGTGTACCTTCCTAACATGTGGAGAGAAGGTATATTCTTGTGTTGTATTTACCGACAGCCCAGCCAGTCTTGCTAGTGTCAGGTATCCTTGTTTTTGTGTCAGCTGACATAATGGAAACACCTGGAACCCTGTATAATCTCGGAAATTTTCCTTTCTTTTGTATGTTTCATAAATTGAATCTTTCTAAGGCATTTTAGACCCCTGTCCAGTTCTCCAGCTGCTGCTATCAAAACGTCAGTGTTGTACTGGACCTTCAGCCAAAATATTTTACTTATAGTGATAAGCAGGAAAGAGTCCAAAAATTCCTATCTTATCTGGAGTTTCGATTAAAAGTGAAAATTCACGTCTTCTGGCTACTAGAACATGAAGTTTAGAGACTGAAAGATTAAGAGACTGATCCTGGGAGATTCTGAGAGATGATTTTTGAGAAATTCTCTGAAACAGAGAATCGAAGAGATTCTTCGAGTTTCAGAGAAGCATTCTGAGTAAGAGAGATTGGCGTAGAGGGTCAGGAGCTAGAGAATGCCTTCATCTTCTTTGAAACGTCTTGTCTCTTATCGACACAATCCACTGAAGGATCGAGTGGGTAGTCTGGCACAGATTGACTGCCGCTGATCTGTGTATAACTTTCTATTTACATTTACACGTCTCGACTTTGAGACGCGGAAGAATGTTCGTGGTGCAGCGTCGCGACCCAAGCGTTTAGTTTACCATATAATTTTCATTGGGCGTAGTACACATTACCGGATGTTAATTCACAAACATGCTTGTGTTCATACATTCACACTTACGTTTACACTTGTATTGACACATGAGCTCACACTTGTTCTCTCACTGTGATCACACACACACACACACACACACACACACACACACACACACACACACACACACACACACACACACACACACACACACACACTTGTGTGATGATATATATGCTTGCAGGATTCCTAAAAGAAAGTGACCCTATTGGGAAAACTTGCAATTCGATAGAGCTCAAAATAATATATGCGACTCCTCCGCATCTTGCACCACTACAAGCCTCGTACCTCTCCATGGCGAGTACCACTTCATTTCTTATTCCACTCCATATCTCATACCACTCCATAACTTGTTCGGCTCTATATCTTGTACCATTCCATGTTTTGTACCTCTCCATATTTTAGTGCTATACCTTTTAGCACCTCCCCATTATTATTATTATTAAAGATTAGCCGGTATTCTCACGGCCCGAGCCTTTTCCAAGTGGTGGCCCGACCTTGGCTCCCTCTTTAGGGAGTGTCTGAGACCTAAGTCTCCAATGGGAGGAGGCACAAGTACCTCCTCATCTTTGGGACCAACTGTCCCCAGGCCTAGCCACAAGCTAGGCCTCTCTGGTCTGCCATCCCCGCCCCAAGGAGGCTAATGGGAATGACAGTCTTATGAGCTGAAGGCTTGGGCTCAGGCACCTACTTTACCCTAGAAGGGTTAGGCATGGTATCGATCAGCACCTCCCCATATCCTGCACGACTCCATATCTTAGTACAATTCCACATCCTGCACGACTCTGTATCTTAATACAATTCCATATATTCGTACCACACCATACCGGTAGAAAAACCTCATCAAAGAAAAATTAATGTATTCTGATCAAGCATGCCATCTGAACCAAGTGTTAGTTGACACTGATGAAGCGTCGTTATCCGGGAGGGTATCGTTATATTGGAGGTTCTCGTTATCCTGGGGGTTATCGTTATCCTGGAGGTTCTCGTTATCCTGGGGGTTATCATTATCCTGGAGGATCTCGTTATCCTGGAGATTATCGTTATCCTGGAGGTTCTCGTTATCCTGGAGATTATCGTTATCCTGGAGGTTCTCGTTATCCTGGGGGTTATCATTATCCTGGAGGATCTCGTTATCCTGGAGATTATCGTTATCCTGGAGGTTATCGTTATCCTGGAGATTATCGTTATCCTGGAGGTTATCGTTATCCTGGAGATTATCGTTATCCTGGAGGTTATCGTTATCATGGAGATTATCGTTATCCTGGAGCTTCTCGTTATTCTGGAGGTTATCTTTATCTTACATGCTTTCATGTAACGAGGTCGAGAGAGGACAATATCAACTGTAGCCATATTTTGCTAAAAAAATAATAATTAATAAATAATAAGAATAACAACAGCAACAACAAACAAATAACAACAACAACAACTAATAATAATAAATAATAACTACTATACTACTACTACATAATATACATAACTATACTAATAATAATAATAATAATAATAATAATAATAATAATAATAATAATAATAATAATAATAATAATAATAATAATAATAATATAAAATAATAATAATAATAATAATAATAATAAAAATAATAATGGGAATAATAATATTTGTTCCATGAAAGTGAAGAGCAGCTCCAATTCCTTGGTTAAAGTGTCGTCCAGCAGCATTAAGGTGTCTCCCTCGAATTAAAGAAAAATATACGACACTAAGAAACGACAGATGTAAAGCACTGAGAGACTGATGTAAGTACGGTACCTGAGAGTGGATCAGGTGAGTGAATACGTGTAATTCTTGACAGCAAATACACTTGAGCCTTTGTAAATTAACCTGTGAACCATAGGGTGTGACCGACATGGTGCGTTTGTGGTGGGGGCAGCTGTGGCTCTTACTTGGTCGACACACGGATCAGCTGTCAGCATCTGTCCAAATCGGCGTTGCTGTGTTTGTGAGACAGTCAGGCTCAAACGTGCGCACCATTCAGGGCAATGCATGAAATGTGCTTCACGCTAAGAAACAAGCACTTACATCATCAGAACACGCACATAAACACTCAAGTACACACGCAAACATGAGCTCACACACACACTAACACACACAATCGTACACAATTCTTACATTAGCGGCTGCGGTAATTGTAAACCAATTTGAGAATAACAGCGTCAGGAGAGCGAGAACACAAACACATAAAGGATAATGAGAAATGCAAGGAGATACACACCCACTTGGCAAACTTTAATGACTAGTGCAAAACACCGTACAACACCCACTTGTATGTTAAACACACACTCCTTACACCACACAGTAAGAAAATATCGTAACGCCTCCCTGGGTACACTCACTGAGGACACAAGTCAACAAACGAGACTTATTCTCTAACACTGTAATGCTATTGGTAGGGTAAGGGTTAAAGGTATTAGTGTTTGATATGGCTTACCAGGTGTTAATAGGTGTGTCTCTTGACCGTAAAACAGAGGCAATAATTCTACGCACAGCCACAATTGGTATCATTATAAGTAAAAGGGAGTCCTAAACGAAATTAGAAGCCAAAGCTTTGTAATAACGGAGTTTGCTGCTGAAAGCTTCGTATATAACGAAGTTTCCGGATAAAACTTAGAATTAACACTACTCTGAATACTACTGAGGATGCGTCATGTGTAAATTATTTCTTAGCAAGAGAGTTGACAGTATCCTTTAACCTACATAAAATAAATAAAAAAAAAATAGTCGTCACGATGATTTACAAAAATACGGACTGAAGCATTAGACATGAGTCTGCAGAAATGATCTTTCTTAATCCGTTAAGCCATACCGAAACACTAATTAATCCCAGACTAAAGTCTAAGGGCTTAAATGCATCTGGTTTATCTCTGAAGTGATCATCACAAAGCATTTACAACATAAAAAGCGGAACACCCTGTTTATGCCTTGACTGTTTGTTCAAAAGTCTCAGAAAATAACACTTTCTCTCAACTAGAGTTTGCCAGTATAAAAATCTAGGCTCTGAGGGAGGGGAAAGGAAAAAAAGGGATAGGGTGAGATACGAGGAAAGAAACATGGAACATAAGGGTAGCGACAGCTAACTCCAAAAATCCTTCCGAATTATAGGAGAAGAAAATAAAAAGTCATGGAAGGGTACGTTAATAGCAACCAGTCACATTCATTTATATACATGTATATCACATAGAACAATAAGCCTATGCATATCTTAAATAATCTACTTTAAAATTACATATGCAATGATATGATTTTTCCACATTAAGATAATCATAAAAACTGGAAATATAAAGTTTTTTTTCTCGTTACACTTCGAAATATAGATTATTTTGGTCCCTAGCATACATACACAACATTTCATCAGGAGGCGTCGTATTTCACTCAGTCGACACTCAGTCACGCAGCTCCAATAGCGATGTGATGTTGACGCAACGAAGATTAACTTATTAAATAAAAAAACTGACATTGTTGATTCCCACATGAGCTTTGAGAGAATAAGAAACACAGACAATACACCACGTCACGTTGATCAGGTCACAAGTTTTTTACCTCATCTATAGTTCCTTAATATTAGCGTCTGACTGATTTGGCCTATAACAGAGACTGCTATAAATCATATTTTCTGAGCTAAGAGCAGCTGTAAAACACTAATGAAAGATTCATATTTCTGTCATAAAATATCTGGCCAAGTTGTTCCTGCATATCTGACAACTGACAAAATTTATCATGTTGGTAGCTTAGCACCATAATAAATCTCTCAGATGTCTGCTTCATAACACCGCCCATCATAACTCCATTTTTGGAAGAACACCACCACTGTTTCTAAATGCAATTTCACCTCAAGGCTCATCAGTGTAGAGTTTATCAGAGTGAGGATCACATTTCCTATGGAACATCTTAGAGCTGAAGGCCTTGGCTTTATCATGGTATGTGGGATACAATAGAGCAGCATTACACCTGGGTCACATTGCGACGCTTTCGGTCTATCTGTGGAAGATTGGGCTGGTGAGCTGCGGGCGTTGGCGCTGGGGAGGTGTGAGCCCGAGAGAGCAGGTGACCTGTGAGAGGCTCGTCCCAGGTGGGAGCGTAACTATTATACTCGAGTCTTGAAGAAGCACAGTTGCAGGTGTTCTCCTCGTGCGTGCATGGAGGGTACACCTGTGATTCGCCGCCTCCCTCGCCTTCAGACGCTAGCCGGCTGCTTGTTACTGTTACGTCCGGGAAGGGCGCGTGGGGAGACAGCCCGTTCGCTTTGTAAGCCACAGGTCCGTCTTCAGCCACCTCGCTGTGAACTGACATTCGGCGTTCGTGCTCTTTTATTAGTGTGGTTGCTCCCCAAGACTGAACTGGGGAGAGGGGGGGACCGTCTCGTGCAGTTCCTGGATCGTCCTTCACTATACTATCTAAGGATTCGTGGCTGCCGCCGCCCTCCTCCATGCTCAGGGTTCCCGGTTTAACTATGAGGTTACCGCTGCCTCCTCCCTCTCGCGCCTTCTTCACGTCTTTCTCATGATGCTGCTTACGTCTTTTGGTATAACAGTAGCAGTAAAACACTACTGTAGCCACCACTATCAGAAATCCACCGATGCTACCCAGGATCACTGCTACGTCCTCAAGTTGAAACTCTGTCTTACCAACAGGTCGACCAGACCCAAGCTCTGACGGCATCGTGTAATTCCCTAAAAAAAAAGAGGTGTACTTCAATGAACTATGTAGCAATGTTAATGTTTATACCCATATATGCTCGCCTACGAAGTATCTGTTTTTGTTCAGTGATACAAACCTCCAGAATGACATGTTACATGGTGAGAGCACCAAGTACCTGAGGTAGTAAGTGCTGGGTGAGTCCTGGTAGTGATCTCATAGGTGGTGGGCGGACGTGGCACCCAGAGCGCTGCAATGTTGCCCACTCCGCCCATATTGTTAGCTTCATCCACCGCCCGCACAGTCACAAACCACAGCTACCCAAGAAGATAAAAAATTTATATCCTTTATTTTTCCACAATTTTTTTTCTCTCGGAATATTGTAACATATTGCAGCCGAAAATATTAAAACATTCGGAAAAAATTAGACTTCTTCCAAAGACTCAGATGATACAAAAGGACATGCATATTTATCAAGGACTGAGATGAATGTTTAGTAACATCAGCCACAAATAAATTTGCAGTTTAGTCTGACTATTGAGCGTACTGACCTCCTCGTATCTAGTGAAGTGCAAATTAGTGGTGTGGAGTGTTCCGGCTGGGAGTGGTTGAGGAAGACCAGTTAGTCGGTCTCCCTGGAAGGCCCTGGCTTCCTTCCAGAAAGGCGCCACCACGGCTTCGTAGTGGTGAGCTCGGTCCACGTCCCAGTCGTCCCCAGGAGCCGTCCAACGCAGCTTAATTTCGTGTACTGTGTCATTAACCTCCACGCGGAGGTCCAGGATGCGTGAGGGTGGGACGTTATCATGGTGGGTAGAGAGGGATACCACTTCCAGCACTCCCCAGGTGACGTGCGCAGGAAGGGCGGGGCACGGCGTGTATGCACGTAAGGTAGAGCATAACCACAGCACGTCTGCTCGCTGTTCCAGGTGTCATAACCATGTTGGTGAAAAAAAGGCAGGTGCGAGGCTAGGCTCTTGTGATGGCGCGTTGGGGGTCCCTTAGCTACGGATGCCAGCCCGCTGTTGTAGTCGATGTCAGCACTCAGAAGATACCGGCCAGGACTCCAGGAAGCGGAGGTAGGTATCGAGAGTACAGCCCATCTCCTTTGGTGATATCTGGGTCTGTCATAGTAAAACACACGGTATAGCACATACAGCATTCTTTAATTATAAATCTACAAATATACTTGCATGCAAAAATATGAATGCTTAACACAATGTAGAAATTAATTGGATATTATGTTAAGGTACAGTATTGTAAATGTTCAGCTAGGATTTTTAAGTATTATTTACACGGTATACAAACAAAATGCTTTAATAATTCCTCACCAGCGTGGCTGTCGTGCTCTAGTTCAAACCCTAATAATTATTTTCTTCAAGAGTGTATAAACTGAAGGCATCTCTCAATTTATAAACAATTGAAATTTACTTCAATCTGTCTTTAAATGTTGTAGATTAAGGTGGCGGTGAGCAGATGACATGAAGTCTTAATGTTCATTGCACATAGAAGAGACGAGCTTACGACGACGTTTCTGTCCGACTTGGACCATTTACAAAGTCACACTAACGAAATGTAAATGGTCCAAGTCAAACAAAAACGTCGTCGTAAGCTTCTCTCTTTTATGTTACGAGTTATTTGTGTATCGTTCCAGTCACGGTATTGTGTCTTTATTTGTTATTTAGCAGAACAAGGTTGTTATAAATGTATCACCAAAACTATGTACAATGGATTATTAATTTATGTTCCTCCCTCATCGTTCCCAATATAAAAAAAAGAATGTGTTCCGATTTGGCATAAAAAAATTAAAGTTTTGTTTTAAAACAATCAAATCTGGTGTGCAATAAGTGAAAACAACTTTGACAAATATTTAAACAATCTATTTTAGAGCCGATGAGAGAAAGAGAATGAATAATCGAAGTGACTGGCAAAGCGAAGTAGTATATTGTACTGCTAACATTATATCCGTAACAATGATAGCAAAATAAACTGTCATTTGAACAATTAAAGACAGAAACACTCAGGAAAGTGACCGTAAAAAGAACGTTCAGAGATTGCAGTTGTTAGGCAGCAGTGTACATCCAGCCCTGCTCTAAATCATGCCTAGATGTGTGCGGCACACATATGTAGACATCAACAATGAAAAGTCAACAATGATGCTTTACCACCTATGCCGTTGTCCAACAAGTCAAGGAAGATGGGATGGTAGTTGCTGCCAGTGGCGTTGGTACCCAGTCTCTGGAGTCTGGCTACAACGCGGGCGTCCATGATGGGCGCCACGCCTGCCTTCACTTCTGCATAGATTATTACGGGCGTGGAGGGGTCGGAGGAGTTAACCGGCTGAGAGCCTGAGCTGGTCCAGAGGCGGACTTGCAGACCTGTGGAGGTGTTGCGCTTGGCAGTGACCTGCACGTAGAGACCCTGGTGAGAGTCTGCTCGGTTCTCTACGCTGTACGTCCAAAGACCACGCTGCCAGGAAGAGTAAAGTTACTACATATTTTTGAATGCTCTTAAAGTTATTATGTTATGGTATTTTACACGCTCTTCATTCATATATAACAGAAATTTCTAAAAGACTCCCAACTGTCCTCAAGAAAGAACTTTACATATCTCCCCAGACAGTTCCTGATCAACTGAGTTGTGGTTCTTACGTTAGATAGCAGCGTGCAATTAGTGGTAATAGTTTGACTGAGCACGTTATCATCCAGGAGGTTTGATCCGAGCTAGGGAAGTAGAGATGATGAAACTCGAAACCATCGACAGGTAGGATAATGATAAACTAGCCGCCATAACTAAGAACAGTTTTTCGAAGTCTCTTCCTACGCAAAAATCCATAAATAATTCTTTCCCTGGAGTCACCTGAAGATTTATCTCGCAGGGCAAAACAGTTCAGTACAGTTATACGACATAGAAATCATGTTTTTTGTATAGCTTTTCGGGAAAGTTCACTTGAGAAGTGATTCCCAGGTTTAATGATTTGAAATTTAGATAGGCTACGCAAAATAACCAAAATTAACTTGGGTTAATTTTACCATAGTAGAGCTGAGTTGCTTAGTTAATTTTGGCACAGTATAGAAATAAAGCCGGCATTCCCTAAATCTGAATCGGGATGTGGAATCATCAGGTAATCCTTTCCCTCAGATATAAATGTCTATATTACATATTATTATTATTATAATAATAAAATGAAGCGCTAAACCACAAGGGCTATACAGCTCTATATTACATAGAGTTAGTGTCACCTCTGCCTTTTCCAGGATGATGAAGATCATGTTGACATCACCGTCTTCTTCCTGGACGTTGACGGAGGCGATCAGCTGGCCAGACGGTGCTGTCAACTGGATGGCGTTGCCTACGTGGTTCAGGTCGTAATAGTAAACAGAGAAGCGAGCGTTAGGGCCAAGCGAGTCATCTAGAGCGAAGGAGCCAGCGGACATGGAAGCAATACCACCAGGGTAGGCAGCGCTGTGTACCAGTACAGGAGCTCCGGGGGCTGAGGAAGGAGCGCTGCGTTGCACACTTGCTAGTAGGGCGTCCATCAGTGCAACCATCATCTTCACTTTCGAGTCATTACCAACACCTTCGTCCATAACGGTGAAGATGGAACCTCGGGACTGTTCGACCAAAACCTCAAGTCCATGAGAGGCAGTAGCGGCGCCCCGGCGCTCAGTTAGCGGATACAACACCACTTCAATTCTTAGGTGTCGCTGCTCTGCTAAGTTTCTCATCTGTTTCACCTCACGTTGCGGCGTCGGACCAGAACCAGTGGTAATTAAGATTACAGTGGCACCGTTTTCTTTCTTGTTGGTGTCGTCGAGAACCCTTAGCGCCTCCTTCAGCCCGCAGAGGATACATTTGTGACTCTCAGGAGTAGTTGAAGGGTTGCGGGGTAAGGATGATCCCACTCGTTGCCTCATATCCGAATCTTCACTTTCGATGAAAGTGAGAGGCGCCACAGTTCTCGCTACGGAGTGGAAAGTAACCACACCCACATGAGCTCCGTCTGGCACGTCGTACACGACTACACGACGCATCGCCTTCCTCAGGAACTCCCACCGCCGCTGTCAAAGAAAAAAAAATGTCCATCGGACAAGTACTTTGAAAAAATGTTTAATTCATGCTAAGCGCTAAACCCATGTGAGTCATTCAGCGCCAGACGTAATGGAGGCTTGATCCTCCGTCTGCTGAGCGTGAAACAGACGCGATTTCTATTTGTTCCTTGAGTAAGTACGCATGAGGAGCATAACTAATCTAAAAAAAACAATCTTTCACAAGTTATGAGTAGTGTCATACTTATGTCAAAGTATTATTTATTTCAGGATGAGCTCTGAGTACGAGGCAAAATATTTCATAAAGAACTAATGAGCAAGTATGTGCCGCCAGATAGCAACCATGACATACTATTTCCTCTGGCTTTTGTGCACAATTATGTGTGTGCGTTCACTAAAAAAAATCCCTTTTGTGCAACACTGACCTGGAGGTTCATGGTGGCCGTGTCCTCGATGACAAAGACATATCTGGGACTCGCTTGCTGGACGAACCTCAGCATCGGATCCAGCCCCCGGCTACCATTACTGGCGGAGTTCCTGCAATTCACAAAGTCTTCCAGACCAACACCAGTAAACATGAAAAGAGCGAGTAATGCAAGCCTGGGTGAGTAACTTTGGGCCTAACATGCGTTAGTAATGTTGCAGACGAGTGCCTAATGTCTGCATTCATTGAGTCTTATGATAGGTTTTTGGGTTTTATTAATTATTACTCCATGATCTTTCTTTCTGTCAAATGTTCTTATGATGTTATTACATAATTAATAATTTTCACAAGTCGCTATTTTTATTTATTATTATTATTATTATTATTATTATTATTATTATTATTATTATTATTATTATTATTATTATTATTATTATTATTATTATTATTATTGATAATAATAATTATATAAAAACAAAAGTTGCTATACCCTTTTACGACTCATACGGTACATCAGTCATATATAATTAGAATTAGAACTGCTTTATGACCCATAGGGCTTTAGCGCTTGTGGACGAGATGTCAAAAAGGTTGGTAGAAACTAAATTATAATTATTTACAATCATGTTAATATTTCCGTAAAAGAGTCAAAACTGAGTACACTTATTTTGTTCGAATCATAATGGTTGTCCTCCACAGCTGGCTCACCAACTAGGACTAAGATATTGAACAGTATATATACTCTGGACGACGTTCATATTTCAAATGTATTCACAACGACATTATTCTTTGCTCTTTTATACAAAAAAAGGAGTGTCGCTCATTTTTCAAAGTTTGTTTGATAAACGATCATGCGCGGTATAAGTGCCTGTTGTACTAGGCAACTAATATTGTCCTAACTAGAAATTCTACCAGGTGAAGGAAGTATCAGAAGTGAATATTTTCCTGAAGTAAAAGGTCACATAAATTCATCCTTTATTCCTCAGACAGGTTATATGTCATTCTGGTGACCCTTTGTGCGGGCACAAGCAACAGCGGATCATATACATAACTGAACACGTAATGCAATATATCTATTTACTATATCCTGGCCCCCAGCTATGATATGTTGAATATAATTTCCAGAGCTTCTACACATGCATTACTGTTTTGGTAACATTTACAAAATACTGTTGGTATTCTCTGTGTGTAGAAGGTTCATCATCGTCAGCCTCGCCTGGTACCATACCAGAGAGCATGTGTTGAGGGTCCCCTCTCCTTCGTTTATACCAGCATAACTAGTTTTTACAGTGTTTGTGGCCTTCTTGGCAATATGGGTGAGCGTATGAGTGCACATGCATGTATAGGTGTGTGTGTGTGTGTGTGTGTGTGTGTCCAGAAGAGGATTTTTACTTAGTAACCACTACCACCCTGCAAAATGGGAGAAAACTTCTCTGTCCCGGCACTCACCGTCCACCAGCGAAATCGGGAGTCTGCTGGATGATCTGCCAGGCTGAGCGGCCGCCACACAGGGAGTTGTGCTTGGTGGGTGCTACTCTGTTGTGCGTCTTGTCATTGCAGAACTGTCTTACCTGCCGACACACCACCACATAAGTAACACGTTTGCACTACGACAGTGGGGTAAAACAAGTTTTGTGTTCAAGGAGCTTGGACTTGTAGCAGGTATGTGTGAGCGTTTTAGATAGGAGTGAATGGATGCGAATGGTTTTTGGGACCTGATGAAATGTTGGAGTGTGAGTAGGGTAATATTTTGTGAAGGGATTCGGGGAAACCGGTTAACCGGACCTGAGTCCTTGAGGTGGGAAGTATAGGCTGATTGAAGTGAAATCTAAGCTATCATATCTGGGCGCCCATGCAAATACACACACACACACACACACACACACACACACACACACACACACACAACACACACACACACATATATTATATATATATATATATATATATATATATATATATATATATATATATATATATATATATATATATATATATATACATATATATATATATATATATATATATATATATATATATATATATATATATATATATATATATATATATATATATATATATATATATATGCAAGACAACCACTGTGAAAGAATAGAGAAACTCCAAGCGCTTTCGTGACTACTCACATTATCAAGGAACTATGAAAGTAAAGCATCCAAGGAAGGTATATAAGGGGTCTGGCCAACACCTCACTGTCAGATCCCACAACGGTTAAACACCTGACGCGCTCCGGCCCAACTGGACAGGTCCTTCGCACAACCCACCAACAAACTATTCTACCCAAGAAAATTTAAAAAAATATTATTTGTCCAGTGTATTATTAAATTCTTCCCAAATTCTATTAATTATAAATGGATCTAATTTATATAAACCAAAGGAAATATTCATATTATTGTCAAAACTGCTTTTAATGAAACAAGATTCAATTATATTCCTGTCGACGATGGACTTGCTTGATACTACTTTCTCAACTTTTTGAAAATCAATTGGATGGTTAAAATCTCTTACACGAATAAATAGAGCATTGGAATCTTGTCCAGTTCTAATGCTATATTTATGTTGTTTTAATCTTAGATCGAGATTTTTACCAGTTTGACCATAATAAAATCTCGAACTAAGATTAAAACAACATAAATATAACATTAGAACTGGACAAGATTCCAATGCTCTATTTATTCATGTAAGAGATTTTAACCATCCAATTGATTTTCAAAAAGTTGAGAAAGTAGTATCAAGCAAGTCCATGGTCGACAGGAATATAATTGAATCTTGTTTCATAAAAAGCAGTTTTGACAATAATATGAATATTTCCTTTGGTTTATATAAATTAGATCCATTTATAATTAATAGAATTTGGGAAGAATTTAATAATACACTGGACAAATAATAATTTTTTAAATTTTCTTGGGTAGAATAGTTTGTTGGTGGGTTGTGCCAAGGACCTGTCCAGCCGGGCCGGCGCGCGTCAGGTGTTTAACTGTTGTGGGATCTGATAGTGAAGTGTTGGCCAGACCCCTTATATACCTTCCTTGGATGCTTTACTTTCATAGTTCCTTGATAATGTGAGTAGTCACGAAAACGCTTGGAATTTCTCTATTCTTTCAGAGTGGTCGTTTTGCATATTCTGAAATCACCTGTTTACTGTCATCTTATTGCATATATATATATATATATATATATATATATATATTATATATATATATATATATATATAAATATATATATATATATATATATATATATATATATATATATAAATTATTATATATATATATATATATATATATATTATATATATATATATATATATATATATATATATATATACATATATATATATATATATATATATATATATATATATAATATATATATATAATATATATATATATATATATATATATATATATATATATATATATATATATATATATATATAATATATATATATATATATATATATATGTCGTGCCGAATATGTAAAACTGGTCAATTAGCAAGATCTCATTGAACATTAAATCCATTCTAAAAATTTCTATTAAACGTTTTAAGATATATTTTTTTCATTAATGTTTATGTAAAAATTTATAATTTTGCACCAAAAGGAACTTAGAAAACTTACCTAACCTTATTATAACAAGAACAATTTATTTTAGCCTAACCCAACTAAATATATTTTAGATTTGTTTACAGTAATTTAATACTAAACAAACACAGTGAAATATATTTTTTTCGTTAGGTTCAGAATGATTTTGGCTAAATTATTGCATACACAAATTTTCACTTGTCCTATATGGCAAGATGAGCGTTGCTACTTAAGCTAAGATCGCAAATTCTGCCAATTCGGCACGACATATATATATATATATATTATTATATTATATATTATATAATATATATATATATATATATATATATATATATATATGTATATGTATATATATATATATATATATATATATATATATATATATATATATATATATATATATGTAGGTAGTAGGTTGGTAGACAGCAACCACCCAGGGAAGTACTACCGCCCTGCCAGATGACTGTGAAACAAAAACCTGTAACTGTTTTGCATGATGGTAGGATTGCTGGTTTTCTTTTTCTGTCTTCATAAACACGCTAGATAACAGGGATATCTTGCTACTCCTACTTACACTTTGGTCACACTTCACAGACACGCACATGCATATATATATATACATACATCTAGGTTTTTCTCCTTATTCTAAATAGCTCTTGTTCTTTTTATTTCTTCTATTGTCCATGGGGAAGTGGAAAAGAATCTTTCCTCCGTAAGCCATGCGTGTCGTATGAGGCGACTAAAATGCCGGGAGCAATGGGCTAGTAACCCCTTCTCCTGTATACATTTACTAAAAAAGAGAAGAAGAAAAACTTTATAAAACTGGGTTGTTTAAATGTGCGTGGATGTAGTGCGGATGACAAGAAACAGATGATTGCTGATGTTATGAATGAAAAGAAGTTGGATGTCCTGGCTCTAAGCGAAACAAAGCTGAAGGGGGTAGGAGAGTTTCAGTGGGGGGAAATAAATGGGATTAAATCTGGAGTATCTGAGAGAGTTAGAGCAAAGGAAGGGGTAGCAGTAATGTTAAATGATCAGTTATGGAAGGAGAAAAGAGAATATGAATGTGTAAATTCGAGAATTATGTGGATTAAAGTAAAGGTTGGATGCGAGAAGTGGGTCATAATAAGCGTGTATGCACCTGGAGAAGAGAGGAATGCAGAGGAGAGAGAGAGATTTTGGGAGATGTTAAGTGAATGTATAGGAGCCTTTGAACAAAGTGAGAGAGTAATTGTGGTAGGGGACCTGAATGCTAAAGTAGGAGAAACTTTTAGAGAGGGTGTGGTAGGTAAGTTTGGGGTGCCAGGTGTAAATGATATGGGAGCCCTTTGATTGAACTTTGTATAGAAAGGGGTTTAGTTATAGGTAATACATATTTTAAGAAAAGAGGATAAATAAGTATACACGATATGATGTAGGGCGAAATGACAGTAGTTTGTTGGATTATGTATTAGTAGATAAAAGACTGTTGAGTAGACTTCAGGATGTACATGTTTATCGAGGGGCCACAGATATATCAATCACTTTCTAGTTGTAGCTACACTGAGAGTAAAAGGTAGATGGGACACAAGGAGAATAGAAGCATCAGGGAAGAGAGAGGTGAAGGTTTATAAACTAAAAGAGGAGGCAGTTAGGGTAAGATATAAACAGCTATTGGAGGATAGATGGGCTAATGAGAGCATAGGCAATGGGGTCGAAGAGGAATGGGGTAGGTTTAAAAATGTAGTGTTAGAGTGTTCAGCAGAAGTTTGTGGTTACAGGAAAGTGGGTGCAGGAGGGAAGAGGAGCGATTGGTGGAATGATGATGTAAAGAGAGTAGTAAGGGAGAAAAAGTTAGCATATGAGAAGTTTTTTACAAAGTAGAAGTGATGCAAGGAGGGAAGAGTATATGGAGAAAAAGAGAGAGGTTAAGAGAGTGGTGAAGCAATGTAAAAAGAGAGCAAATGAGAGAGTGGGTGAGCTGTTATCAACAAATTTTGTTGAAAATAAGAAAAAGTTTTGGAGTGAGATTAACAAGCTAAGGAAGCCTAGAGAACAAATGGATTTGTCAGTTAAAAATAGGAGAGGAGAGTTATTAAATGAGAGTTAGAGGTATTGGGAAGATGGAGGGAATATTTTGAGGAATTGTTAAATGTTGATGAAGATAGGGAAGCTGTGATTTCGTGTATAGGGCAAGGAGGAATAACATCTTGTAGGAGTGAGGAAGAGCCAGTTGTGAGTGTGGGGGAAGTTCGTGAGGCAGTAGGTAAAATGAAAGGGGGTAAGGCAGCCGGGATTGATGGGATAAAGATAGAAATGTTAAAAGCAGGTGGGGATATAGTTTTGGAGTGGTTGGTGCAATTATTTAATAAATGTATGGAAGAGGGTAAGGTACCTAGGATTGGCAGAGAGCATGCATAGTTCCTTTGTATAAAGGCAAAGGGGATAAAAGAGAGTGCAAAAATTATAGGGGGATAAGTCTGTTGAGTGTACCTGGTAAAGTGTATGGTAAGTTATAATTGAAAGAATTAAGAGTAAGACGGAGAATAGGATAGCAGATGAACAAGGAGGCTTTAGGAAAGGTAGGGGGTGTGGGACCAGGTGTTTACAGTGAAACATATAAGTGAACAGTATTTAAGAAAGGCTAAAGAGGTCTTTGTGGCATTTATGGATTTGGAAAAGGCGTATGACAGGGTTGATAGGGGGGCAATGTGGCAGATGTTGCAAGTGTATGGTGTAGGAGGTAGGTTACTGAAAGCAGTGAAGAGTTTTTACGAGGATAGTGAGGCTCAAGTTAGAGTATGTAGGAAAGAGGGAAATTTTTTCCCAGTAAAAGTAGGCCTTAGACAAGGATGTGTGATGTCACCGTGGTTGTTTAATATATTTATAGATGGGGTTGTAAGAGAAGTAAATGCGAGGGTCTTGGCAAGAGGTGTGGAGTTAAAAGATAAAGAATCACACACAGGGTGGGAGTTGTCACAG